TTATTATTATTATTATTATTGCTATTGTTGTTGTTGTTGCTTCATATCAGATTTAGATTTATCATTATGATTATTATCATCATCAAATTATTATCATGATCATTATTATTACCATTATTATTATCCTTCCAGACGTACAACGTAGACACACAGATCACCGACTCTGCCGCCTCGGGCACAGCGTACCTGGCAGGGGTCAAGACAAACCAGGGCATGCTAGGACTGAGCGCTCACGCCAAGCGGTCTGACTGCGAGTCTTCCCACGGACACGACGTCGACTCCATTCTCAACTGGTCTTTGGACGCTGGTCAGTTTTTTATTTATTTTTTTCAACGGAGATGGGTTTCCGATACAGCCTGTCATGGCTAACTCCGCCTGAGACGGATACGACAGACAGACACGACGTCGACTCCTTTCTCAACTGGTCTTTGGACGCTGGTCAGTTTCTTCATTTATTTTTTCAAAGGAGGTGGATTATTTCTACCTAGACTTCAACCCAATTTTGACCATTTAGTAGGCCGGTTTCCGATACTGCCTGTCATGGCTAATCCGGCCTGAGAGGGATACGAGAGACACGACGTCGACTCAATTCTCAACTGGTCTTTAGACTCTGGTTAGTTAATTATTTTTTTAATGGGGTATTTTTTTTTCTCGCAGTCATCTATTTTGTAAACTGGGGTGCTTTTAACACAGACCTTGACACAATTTTGATCATTTAGGGGGTGGGACTCCGAGACTGCCTGACAGGGTCAGACCGGATTGAAAGTGATACATATTATTTGCCCTGCACAAAGACCAAAGTACTCGATAAAGAAAAAAAAATCTTATTCGGGTATCATGTATGCGAGAGCGAAGCGCCTAACGGCTACACCACAGACACCGATTGACCAGTTTATCCTGTGTTTCAAAATTCGTTTGTGTGTATAAAACTCTTTCCACACCAGAACGTAACAGTGTCTGTGGTGTTGCAGTTAGGCATTTTGTTGTCACACATGGAATATCCGAGTTCGATTCCTTGGTGGGGAAAATGATTTTTATAGGCTGTCTCGGTCTTTTTGTTGGAACGTTGCGTCAGTCTCAGCCTGGGCTGGTCCTGACAGGCAGGATCGAAGCCCACCTCCTGAAAGATCGAATCTGTGCCAATGAGGGTGTAAAAACACCTGCATTATAACCACCCCGAAAAAATAAACAACAAATACTGCCTCTTTTCATCAAGCCTATCAAATGACGATTTTGAGAATCAAACCTGTCTGAGGATTTGATCAAACCGTGCCAATTGGTGGCTTCTGTCGTTCCTCACATATCGTATCCAATACATGTAGAACTGTTTATCAAATGGATATTTCACGAGATGTTCTGAAAGGTACATAGGATATGATACTGAATTAGGAAACCCTATTCACCAGGTAGATCGGGGAAACCTTTAATTAATATGCATTGGGTATATTGTTACTAAAACAGGAAATTTTCCTCATTAGGCAAGTCGGGTGGCGTGGTAACGACCATGAGGGTAACCCACGCCACGCCGGGTGCCCTCTATGCTCACTGCCCGGAGAGAGACTGGGAGGCGGACTCCTACCTGCCTGAGAACTCCACCTGCTTGGATATCGCTGCACAGCTCGTCGAGAAAAACCCTAACATCAGTGTGAGTTATTTATAATTACGTTGTATTTTTTAAAACACTCTCATCGATAAAATTTAGATAATTTATGAGGTAGGAGTCCGACCCTGCCTATCAAGGCCAGCAAGAGTCAAGAGGGGTACAATATTTCAGCAGAAAAATCGAGATACCAGACTAAAATTAATTAGCCAAATTAATACCAGATTCGAAACACGCATCGGTAGTCATGGTTCGCCGTTCATTTATTTATGTAGATGCTCTAAAAAGCTGTAGTTATTCTCCTGGTCTTTCAAGGTGAACATCTGTTCAAATTCCAAAAGCATGACCAATACAGCATGTTGACAAAATGAGTTACTTCTCGGATTCAAGACTTATGGAAATAGATACATCTCACGCATAAGTAAAGTTTTTACAATTTATAGGTATGAAATAATACATGTGACATTTTAAGAATACGGCATCAATTGAAAATCTACATATTTGACCCTAGTGTCGATTTTTGGCCAATATCTCCATTTGTGGATTGTGAGAAATAACCATTTTTTTCAGCGCGCCTCACAGTTATTCTTTATTTACCTCTGTCTATTTTGCCTTTTCTTGTTCCTGTTGGATCAAGATGTTTAAGCCTTTAATTTTGGTTTGAGTGGCCTAGAAACCGAGTGTGACTTGTTCTAACTGTATCTATATATGACCGTCCCAGTGTTATTTACGATAGTTCAAACCACACATTGAAGTAATGTGCGGTATGAAGTGAACTATTACATAATAAATATCTCTCAAGTATAAAAAGTGAGACATCGTGATGAAACCAGGCCCTCGTCAAAATAATGCAACCGAAGATATCGGCATTTTCCCTCCAGTTTGATATTTTTTTCTAAATTCATTTTTTTGTCTCGACACCTTTTATATCTATTTAAAAGCATTTTTGTGTGGATTTTACCGAAAAACATTGATTAAAGGCAGAACAAATGTAAATTTTCAAAGGAATCTCAAGCTTTGAAACCACCAAACCTTTGCAACCATTTTCTGGCTAATTTAACCTCTGAAACCAGGTGACTTCGACCTCCTTCAATCGCAAATATTCAAGATAGGCGTGTATTTTTTTCATGGAAAGATGGTCAACTGAACACACTTTAAGATGATATCAAAACCCCAAATGCTCAAAAATTGACGAGCGCGTGATTCTACCGGGTCGTGACACAAAGATATCCTCTCAAGATACAGCACCTGTGTTTCTCAATTAAGGTGTACCGTAACACGACCTCTACAGGTAATTCTAGGCGGCGGACGGAGGAACTTCTACCTGAGCACCCAGCCCGACCCTGATCCCAGCTCAACTTCCACCGGGAAAAGGAACCAGAAGGATCTCATAGAGGTGAAAGTTTTCAGTATTTATAGTTGTAGTTGTAGTTATTGTTGTAGTTGTAGTTGTAGTTGTAGTTATTGTTGTAGTTGTAGTTGTAGTTATTGTTATAGTTGTAATTTCTGTAGTTGTAGTTGTTGTAGTTGTTGTAGTTGTAGTAGTTGTAATTGTAGTTGTTGTAGTTGTTGTAGTTGTGGTTGTAGTTGTAGTGTAGATCAGGTGGGCAGTCTCGGCCCTTGCCTGCCAGGCCCAAATCGGGCTGAGTGAAATGCGACGCCGAAGTAGACAGACGAAGATACTCGATAGAAACATCTCCCAACTCGAGAATTAAATTCATGCCTGCTGTGTGCGACAACAGTGCGTTTAACCGTAACACCAGTAGTGAGAATTTGAGTGACGTATTTTGAAGGTACAATAACTGTCCATTCCGAGCACCGGGGAACAGCGACTCTTATTTTTAAAAATAGTAAAAAGTGTGTCCTGAACAGCGACTGCCCTAAGCGAATACCTCGTCGTGATGGTATTGATGATGGTATCGATACACCCGCGACCCGACAAAAAGATTTTTAAATAAACATTTAAAACTATGTCTAATCGTAAAATTAATATCAAATTTGGAACCAGCGTGTCCAAATTAACAAAATAACTCGCGTTGACCGTTTTTCTAGCTGGATTTAGAAGATCACAAAAAGAAGTATTTTATATAATATTATATGCTACCAAGATTGAATCTTGTAGTATTTTCCTACCATAAAGAGGACAGACAACAGTCACTTTTGACTGATCTTATAATAGACCCCCCCCCTCCTCAGTGTGAAGTGACACGTGAGAGGCTATGACGCAAAAATTCCTTTGATGTTTGCCGCCGCGCGGGATTAAACTTTGCACGCAGAATTTTCAAAATAATTATCGCAGCTAAAAACTGATTTCATTTTCGAAATCAGCGTATAAAATAAGAAAAGTGGCTCACGGGGAACCTGATTTGAAGCCACATTTTAAAACTTGAGCAAACTTTGTTTTCCAATTGTCTATTTTCAGTCTAAAGTTAGGTATCAAGGTCACCCAGTGTGTTGTAAGTGCATCTGACATCAAAGCTGCAGGACTACACACTGCACACTAAATAGATCTATCTACTACTGCACAGTCACTGTACAGTGTACAGTAGGATTATGGTGACTTGGTCGAAAGAATCTGTTATTATTGAGATGTAGATGCCTACAGATCCCTCGAAAGTCTGTTGACGATTAAGTCCAGAGACTACAATAATAAATTATTAAGAGAGGGTGTAAGGAGAGTTTGTGTCATTAAAATTTTGAAACTAATAACTTCGTGGGCCTCTTGTTTTATGTTTGTTAAGAATCAACACACAGAATGCAGGCAATTGTTGTGAAGAGTCATCTGGCGCACGAAGAAGGAATCTCCCCCAATTTAAAGGGAATTGGAAACTACAAAATGGAATGTATTAACTGAATATGGAGTTTGATAAATCTGACAGTTTTACTATACGAAGAATGTAATACGATTTATCGCTGAGAGTAACTTGCCCTTTACATATTAACCCTTTTCACGGTAACCTATTTATATCCCTTTGACGGACAACTGGGTGTAAACACCCGCACGTGTATTATACAGTGGGTTCCAAAAGAAACTTGATAATGTAATCACCCAATAATCGGGTTAAAGCCTGCACTACCCACTCATACAGCATACCAATTTAAAGCTAAATAAATTCTGCACCATCTGACATAATAATATTTCATCTATGTTAAGAGATGCTCGAGATAATACTATGGTTACTCAAAATTGACCTTAAACAATCAGGCTTGGCAAAATTGTGCGAAATCACAGAAACGTTGTCTTCGAGCGTGTATTGGAGATCATCATCAATATCGATAGAATGGACTTGCATAGCTTATCCAATGAATGGTGAGTTTGTTTCTCTGCAATAAACAATATTTAATGTAGATAATTTCAATTTCAAACAAAACAGAAAACAGAGCAATCACAAATACCACAAGAACTTGGACTTAACAATAAATGTGCTCATTGTTATTTTGCGTAGGAGCCATTGGTTTTGTGCAGTGCACGAACCCCAAGGGCATCGACTCCGCTAAATTTTGGACAATTATCAGTCATTTCATCCCAGATGTCACTGACGGTTGCAAGCGAAGGGTCTGAATTGGGAGCAACGTCAATTTTCTTCAGCTGCTTTTTCTTGGGATTTCACATACCTGTAGGATTCATATTGGGCTATTTACTGGTGACTGCTCCAACGTTGATATGATATAGTTTTCCAAGAATTGTCTCGTGATAATATTGGCCGAATTAGAAAGTGATTTGCCATGAATGGAGGTCTACTTGAATGACATCATGAGGGAAATATGGGTAAGACATGACATTCCAACACTTTCGTGATGTAGTCAATTAAAGCAAGCCATCCGATGATTCACATGCGGACGATTTTTTTCATTCCGTCCCACCTCCCCAAAAAATGACAGTTTCATGGCCTTTGCTCCTCACTGACAGATGAAGATGATTTTTCCAAAATCTAACTTACACAGCCATGTTCTAAAAGGTCTGTGTACTACAAGAAGACCAATAGCTCCTAAACAAAAACGAAATCATACTAATGAGCATATGCAATGTTAAGTCTAAGTTCAACATGGTATTTGTAAATAATCTGTTTTCTAATTTGTTTGAAAATGTTTTTCAGAAGACGCTGCTCATTGCAGAGACAATAATATTTCATTTTCCTTTGATATTCAATACAATAAATAAAAAAAAAATAAGATCGTACTCATCATGTTCTGTCACCAACGACAGATGCATTTCTCCTATGCTCATTGAGAAAACGATAGATACTGCCATCTGTGGTTGATTCTACAAAGGAGGAAGCATTGTTTGGTTTAAATTCTGGGTCACTGTTACCCTGTGAAAAGTAAACACAATGTCAAGCTCACGCTTAGCACCAGGAACCTCTGACTGATCTATGCATCATCCTCAGGATAATTAAGTTGTTCTATCGTTTGATTCTCTTCTTCTTCTTCTTCTTCTTCTTCTTCTTCTTCTTCTTCTTCTTCTTCTTCTTTTTCGGGGAAGTCGACTGCTGGCTCTTCAACTCGCAGTACAATTGATTTTTACGTATGTGACCGCTTTTCATATTTCGTAGGACCCTTGCTTTCAGGCAGCCACATTCAGATTTCGAAGGCATTCTTTATCGCTTTATACTGACTGTCAGGTTTTTAGTATGAATTAATTTTGAATGTTGCCTTGGTGGCGGCTGAATCCTACTCTTATCGAGTTTAGAACCACCAAGAGAACTTAAAGTGCGCAGCTTGCACAAGGGACCACCGAGATTTTTTTTCCCTTTCGAGAAAGCCAAATGTTCGGTCACTGCTACCCTAAGATCAGGGATGTGTGATTGAAAGACAGCAGTTAGAAGGAGCAAGGAGAAGCAGTTCTTGTAGAAATAGTCAGGAGCAAAGGAGAGAGGAGCCCACTTACCGGGGGTGGGCCGTGTTAGAGCGAGAAAGTGGAGATGGAGGAAGCAGACGACAGAACATGTCTAGAGAAAAGGAAAGGGGCTGAAAAGAGATCATTTTAGAGAAGAAAAAAAATGTTTCCTTCGCTGTTAGGTTTCGAACCTGGAACCTATTCAATGTAAAGCGAACGCGTACCTCTAGACCACGAGAACCCCGTTTGTTTGTTTCTGATTGTTCTATTTTTAATTATCTTCCAGGGATCTTTTTTAAACCAATACACAATACACACAAGTATATTGTATTTCTATGTTCTGTGAACTGATCCCAAGTAGAAATTCGTGAGCCAGAGTATTTTTATTTGTTTGGTTGTTTTTTGTTTCTGTTTCTGTTTTCTTTTTTTCTCTCTCCATTTCTATACTACTGATACACACACGTACATGTATGCCTCATAAAACGACTTCCATCATAAATCCATGTGCATGTTTGTTCAGTTGTTTGTTTGTTTGGTGTGTTTGTTTTCATCTTATTTTTGCTTTAATAATACACACACGTACATCTATGCTTCATAAATTAATTACTCCCTTTAAAATTCGTGTGTGTGTTTGTTTCTTTATCTGTCAGCTTGTTTGCTGATTTTTCCTTCATTGTATTTGTACTTTGTTGATACACACACCTACATGTATGTTTAATAAAATAAAACCAGTTATAAATTTATGTGATTGTCTGTGTGTGTGTGTTGTGTGTGTGGTTGTGTGTGTGGTTGTGTGTGTGTGTGTGTGTGTGTGTGTGTGTGTGTGTGTGTGTGTGTGTGTGTGTGTGTGTGTGTGTGTGTGCGTATGTCATCATGTGAGTAAGAGTATGATCGTGTTGGAGTATTATAAACCAATCCAGGAGAAACAATACCAAATCGGAAAGCAAAGATGAAACGGAGAATTGCAATCTCTGCATCTAAACTTAAAATGATGACATCCACCTGAAGAAGACAATGCAAAGAGAGAAAAACAAAAGTTCAAACTTTAAGAACATTCTGGAGACTGTTTTCAAACTTGCTACTGAGCTCACAGCATTTTAAAATAAATTTTTCTTTAAAATTCTCCCTGCAACATCTCCTTATTGCTTTACGCTGTGATCAACTTCTCTCTTTCTTGCTCCATCCTTATGAACAGATTGGCTGGAGATTTGAAGGGGGCTCTCGTGGCCTAGAGGTTAAGGTGTTGGCCTCTCATTCAAAAGGTTCCGGGTTCGAATCCGGGTAGCGACCGAAAAATGTTCTTCTCTAAATTTGTCTCCTTTCACCTCATTTCCTGCTCTCTAACAATTTTCTGTCGTCTGCTTTCGTCTCCTCTTTCTGCCCCCCCCCCTCACCTCCTTTGCCCCTTCCTCTGGCCTCCTGATTTTTTCTGCAGCCTTTCTACTGTTACTCCTTCGCTTCTTCTTACTGCTGTCTTTCAGCCACACCCCTGATCTTCCAGTAGGAAAGATCTACACCTAGCCTTCTCAGACAAGGGCGAAAAATCTCGGAGGGCCCGTGTGCAAGTTGCGCACGTTAAAGATCCCTTGGTGGTTTAAAATCTATAAGAGTAGGCTTCGGCCGCCACCCGGGCAAAATTCAAAATTTCCTACCAACTGAATATATTAGGTGTGTCCCGCGCGCTCATATGACCTTACGCAGTTGCGAGCGCCGTAAAACACCATACAAAAACAAAACAAGGAGATTTGACAGAGCTCTATTAAGCCTACTGAAAATCGAGACGAAATGTAACAAGTTTGGTCTAATTGTATTCGATACTGTAGGCGATTACTCCAAGTTCAACTGTAACAAAAAAATATAGTAAAATACTAGTCGCTGTTCCCCGGTCCCTGTTCCCCGGTAAAATGACGTCAGCAGTCGCTGTTCCCCGGCGCAGCCCTGTCCATTCTCTACAGTATTTTTCATGGCATTCTGGGGTCTGTAGTGTAATAGTTATGCTCTATGCTGTCAAAGATAGTACAAGACAAGATGGTTCACTCAGCCAAAAAAGTGTCCGCAGGAAGTATGCTCTTTGCTTCAGATGGCGCTGCAGTCTGTTTTGAAGCTCTCTTTCGTTTTTCCAGAAGAAGAATAGGAATAGCACCTTCGTGCGTGCGCAGATCGACTGCTGTTCATCAGCAGTTCGGGTACGTTCAGTGCGGAGTTTTAGTTTTTTAAATATTTTAATGACCTCTCGCCCTTCACTCTAAAGTCAAATTAAACGAAGAAAACCATCTCCTTTTCCTCCGGAAGAGGTTTTTGGTCAGCGTAACCATTTTTAAAAAGCGTTCTTCCGAAATTTATCCCAAAACTTGCTAGTTTCACTTTGATTTTTAAAAACTCAAGTAGGGTAACTCTGTTCGCAAAGAGTGCGCTTTTGTGAAGAGGGCGCCACCAAATTTTGAGGACACTTTTTTAATTGGCTCAAAGAGAGAAGTGGCCCATCTTGTTATGTACTATCATTGATGCTGTTGCCTGCAAAATACAAGAGTTCGATTCCAGGGTCTTATCGAGTATCTCTGTCTGTTTGCTAAGATACTGTATCGCTTTTCGGTTGGGATCGGCCCTGACAGCAAGGGTTGAAGCAGCCTCCATGATAGAAACAGAAACTGTGTCGATAAGGGTGGGGTGGGGATTGTGTGTCTGT